ATTTTATCTATCTGAGTATTTATCCTATTTTTTATATTAAGTTCTTAAAAGTGTCTATCTTTGGGGCGGCTAGGTGGCTCAGTTGGTTGAGAGTCTGACTCTTGATTTCAGGTCAAGTCACGATCTCACGGTTCCTAAGACTGAGCCCTGTGTTGGGCTGTGCCTTGGGCTCTGTGCTGACAGCAGAGCCTGCTTGGGATTCTTCTCTCCTTCTCTCTCCGCCTAACCCCCACTCACACTCACTAGCTCTCTAAATAAACTTAAAAAAATAAAAGAAAAGAAAAGAAATGTGTCTATCTTTATCAATTGATTGTAAGATCTATGAAAACAGGAACCAGGTCTGCCTACTCAACCGTAATCTCAGTGCCCAGCAGAGTATCCACGCAGATCTGTAAAATAATACAATGAGCTATAAAAGGAATTAGGAAGGAAGAGAGAAAATAGGGAGGGAGATAAAAAGGAAAAAGAGAGGGAGAGCTAGAGAACAGATTTGGAATAGAAGAGTGATTATCAGAATACAAGTGGATGCTTTAAAAGGAATTATTTTGAATTTCTTTTTCATTTCATAATTACATACACACACACACCCCACTGGTGTGTTCTCAGTCATGGTGTAAAATGTAATTTTTACTATGGGTTACAACCCAAAATTTTGAAAACCCTAAATTGCATTCCAAAGTACACTTTAAAACTCAAGTCACCGACACTGCATTTATTGCAATGTTTCTCAATTTTTATTCTTTAACCTTAATCTCCTTGAGGAATACAATACTCTCCTCTCCCATTAGTAGAAAAAAATTGCTGAAGACAGCAAGAGAAAAATTCATCTACTATTCCCTTCTGCTACCTAACAATTTTCATATGATTATTCCTACATCCCTAACAATCCTAAGATCTCTGAAGATGGAGCTGCCTTCTTCCTCTATTATTTCCTTCACAGTACTTAGCAAGATAAAAGCACATTGAGTAAGTAGAGTAGTACCCCCTTAGTGGCAGGGGATACATTCCAAGACCCCCAATGGATGCCTGAAATCACAGAAAGTGTACTAAACCTTATATACACTGTTTTTTCCTATACGTACAGTCCTATGATAAAGTTTAATCTATAAATTAGGTACATTAAAGATAACAATAACTAATCATAAAATAAAACTATTATAACAATATACTGCAATAAAAATTATGTGAATGTAATCTCTCTCAAAGTATCTTGTGGTAGGTACCGTGATGACGTGAGATGATAAAATGCCTATATGATGGGATGAAATGAGGTGAAAGTCGTAGGCACTGTGATGTAGAGTTAGGCTACTATGGACCTTTTAACAATACTCAGGAGGATCATCTGCTTCCAGATAGCGGATGTCCAGGTAATTAAAACTGCAGAAAGCAAAACCCGGGATAAGCAGGGGGGCAGGGAGGGCTACTATACTAGTAGGATGACTGCCAGTTGCCCTCCTGGATAATTACATTAAAATTTTAAAAAACTGCAGAAGTTAGTCTGCTACTCATTGGCATGTCAAAAATGAGAGAGAAAACGAAAAACCCTAAGCCTATAAAATTAAAAAGTAAAACAAACTGAAGTACAACTTTGTATATTAACAAGCCCTGCTGAATGCTACACTGGCAGAATCTACCAGAGAATCATCTGGATCAAATTATGTTCTCTGAAGGAATGAGAAACAAAATAAACCCTGCCTTTCAGAGCTTGTTGTAGGTAGTACCATTTAAACTACAGCATTTTAAAGCGGGCCCAAAGGTGAAAAAACACAGAGGTGTTAACTACTCCAGTAATTCAGGTTCACAAGTTTTCAATTCATATTTGTTACAGACTTATCATAAGGGGATCCTTATCCTTCCGTACCTTTTTCTAAAGGTTTAAAAAAACTGGATGCTCATCTCATTCACAGGAAAGGACCAATAAAAGGGCAGTGTGTATTTTGGTCTTTGGTTTCATCAGCTAAAATGGAAGACTAGAAAATTTCAGAGAATGACGTTCTCAAGACACTAAGGATTAGAAGATGGGCCACCACTGTCCACTTCTCCATCTCTTAGCTTTTATTAAACTACCTGGATAAAACCAAACCAACCACCTGCCTACCCACAGCATTTATTACATCATATATATTTTTTTAATGTGTATTTACTTTTCAGAAAGAGAAAGACAGACAGACGGTGAGCAGGGGGAGGGGCAGAAAGAGGGAAACACAAAACCCAAAGCAGGCTCCAGGCTCCAGAGCCATCAGCACAGAGCCCCATGCAGGGCCTGACCCCATGAGCTGTGAGATCATGACCTGAGCCAAAGTCTGGCGCTTAACTGACTGAGCCAGCCAGGCACCCCTAGGTCTTATATTTTAAAATAATTCTCGTTTATTCTTTGAATTCCTATTCATGACAAGTCCTGTGCTAAGTGTGGGCATAAAGTCCCCATCTTTGAAACACTCATAGCCTAGGTGGACAAAACCTCCAGTCAACCAGTATTTACTAAGTGCCTACAATTTTGAAGCAACTCCATAGCTTCAACAGGGGCAAGCACATTCAAGTTGAAACTTGCTCATATTTGCCTCATACAGTTCTCCGTTACAGGTATGTTTTGCTCTTGTTTTTCCAAACCGAATAAACCTTTTGGCAAGTCAGAGACTGTCTCCTCTTATAATTTCACACTGCCAAGCAAAGGGCTGGCACAAAGGGGGAACTCAGCAAGTCTAACAGGAAATAACTGTTGAGGAAGAAGACAAGTCCCGGGCCCTTCCCAGTCCCCATCCTGTCAGAAATTGTCTTGGTCACCCTACTCTGATTATCACTAGTCCCAACCCCAAACTCCTCTGGGACTACTCCAGGGGTAAATGGCAACATACCTCCTACAAAGGGCAAATTTCTGGGATGTCTGTCTCTAAGATCTGTTCTTTTTCACCCCACAAAAGAGATCAAAGAACTGATAGGTGCCCGTTTAGGGCAGAGTCCCTTCTTTCCGGCTCCTCCCAGTCACTAGGAGAGGTCACCAGCCCCAGGGTTTTCCAATACAACTTCGATGTTGGCCATGGGTTCGAACCCTGGCCTCACCATCAACTAACTGGGTGGCCTTGTGTTTGTCACCGGACCTCTCTCTGTGTTAGTCACCGGACCTCTCGCACTTCAGATTCTTCTCCTGAGAAGAGGAGCTAATAAACACTGCCTGGAAAGTGCCCGGCTCACACAGGAACCACCCGATAAAGGGGAGGTATTATTCTTTAGAAAGGCGGCAGGATGACAAAGCCGAGGGGGCTCAGACTGAAGGCCCGGTGGGGGGTGGGAGGGACAGACTGACGCAAGCCAGAGGCCTAGAAGGCTTGACAGGGCGGGAAGCCGCTACCCGCAGGGCGGGAAGCGGGGGACGCCGGCGGGCGCCGGCGTGTGCAAGGGCGGGGGACAGCCCGCGACCCCTTTACCTGCTCCCTACTAACCCGCCGCCCCCCTCCCCGGCCTCTCACCTCGCTTGATCACATGCATCGCGGCTAGTGACTGAGGTGCTGAGGGATTCGAGACAGGACTGAAGCTCTGAGGCGCCGGCGGGATCGAGAAGGTAGTAGGGGGCGAATGGTCGGGTTCCTAGGGGTACTCGGGTGCAGGGACTGGATATGGGGCCAGAGAGCACTTTCCTCCACGGAGCGGAGTCGCTACAATCCGAATCCCCTTCCCGCTCCCGCCACCTGAGACGCAAAAGCGGCGCGACGGAGCTCGAATGACGTTACTCGACGCTGCCAGCGCCCTTGCCGGTGGGCAGGGCTAGCAAAGCCCGAGGCCGGCCTAGCCCCAGTAGCCGCCATGTTGGGTATGGGCAGGTCCCTGGAAACTGCGCCTTTCCCTCGGCCACATTGGGTATGGACACGCCTGGCGGGAACGCGGTTCTCCCGCCGCCATGTTGAGTGTGGGCACAGCCGACTCTTGGAAGAGGACCCCGCGCAGCGCGCAGAACCCGCCAGGCCCGGCCCCGCCCTCCTCGTTGGCGCGCCTCCGCCGAGATGAAGATGGTTCAGGTATTTTTTTAAATAAAAACCCAACCATCCAAAAAACGCTTTCTTGTCTTGAAGACTATTAGAATACAATAACCCGATTGCTGTCCGATGTGGGCTGTAGCCTTCGATCCAGAGCTGGAGGCAGCGGGGAGGCCCACGCTTCTAGGTCGGAGGAAATCTGGCACTCAGTCCCTGGAATAGAGCTTGCTAGGCCAAGGGCGTTGGATTTTATCCTGACGGAATGGGCGCTCTGGAAGAGTTTTGAGCAGGGCAGGGTTTTTATAATTCTCCACTGGGTGGTGGCAGATACAGGGTCAGCAATAAGGCCTGTGGAGGCAGAATGGAGGTGCTTGGTGACTAAATGTGGGGAGTAGGAATGGGTGATGAAGAAGCTTCGGATTTGGACTACACTAATTTTTTTTTGTTTAATGTTTTATTTATTTATGAGAGACAGCATGAGCAGGGGAGGGTCAGAGAGAGAGGGAGACACAGAATCTGAAACAGGCTCCAGGCTCTGAGCTAGCTGTCAGCACAGAGCCCGACATGGGGCTGGGCTGAAGTCGGGTGCTTAACCAACTGAGCCACCCAGGTGCCCCTGGACTACACTAATTTTTATGAAAGCTCATGTGGCATCGCTCTCAAAAACCTTTTCATTGGTTCTTAAGTGCCCTCCAGATGTACCCCGATCCCTATGAAGTAATTCCAAAAGTCAAAGGTGATAGGCAAGGCCATAGGATACATAGGTTAAGGATGGATGGGGTTGCCAGATTTAGCAAACAAAATTAATGTGTCCCAAATGCTGCAGGGGACATAATTATACTAAAAAAGTTTTTATTTATCAGAAATTCCAGTTTGACCAGACAGGCGTCCTGTATTTCATCTGGTAATCCTATCCAGAGAGCTTTTGGCTATGTGTATTAGTTTAATTTTTCCTTGACCAAGGAGAAATAGTCTCTTCTTCATCCTGTCTGCAATGCCAGAGAACACAAGAGTCAAAGCCAGCAGAGGTTAAAATCTCCTACATGCTTTATTGGACTTCAAAGAGTCTTATGAAATAACACAGAAAAACCCATGTGAGGGTGCCCAGGGGGTACAAGGCAGTCAGCAGCCTAGCACCCTCCTAAGACCAGCCCCAGGGGCCTGCACCCCAGGTCCAAAATAGGATCCCAGAGTAAAGGCATGGGAGGTCGTGGAGTAATGGGAAAATACCTTTACAGCCATAGCAAAAACAGGTAAGGGAGAGAGTTGTCTAGAGGGTGGGAAGGGTGTGGGGGAAGAGGTCACACAGCTGCCTTCACCTATACCATCTTCCTTAGCCACCCCCTTCCCTAAACCAGCTGTGTCCTTTTTGAGCCTCTGGCCCAAGCTATGCAGTAACATGAAAATGGGGTCTGACAAGGGGAGTATATGGTGCAGGCACTTGGGAAATTCAGGAGATTTCTTTTTTCAATTAAAAAATATTTTTTGGTTCAAATGCAACAATATCCTGCCCAACCGCTTCAGGGCCCCATTTGAGCCCTGTGTCATGGCTGAGGCTCCCATGGCCAGGGGAGCCATTTGTCCTGAGCTCCAGGAGTACTGATGCTTGGGGAGCATTTGGGCAGCACCTCTTATAGTCAAACCTTCCTGCAGTGTGGGGGAGCAGGGATGAGAAAGAGGCAGGTGTGGGTGAGAGAAGAGAGAAAAGGTGACTGCCTTGTAGCCCACAACTCTGGCATCTGCTCATCCCCCAACTAAGAGGAGTCTCCCAACCTACCCCCTAGCTGGGCCTCTTCTTCAAAATTCTCTAGTAGCTTATCCTTTGGGAATGTGTTCCACTCCCCCATGGACCCCTGGAGACTCATGTGAGTTCCAGGCCAAGTTTCCTTCTGGCCCACCACACTCCCAAAGAACAACCTCAAGTATTAGGCCCTAGGCCCGCCCCAGTCTGAGGCAAACAGAACCATCATAGATGGGGTGGAACAGGTCTGAGGCACAGATGTCAGAAGTCAGTCCTCCTATCTTCCCCCCCCCCCCCAAGCTGCTAGGGGAAGTTGGGGAGTGGTGGGAGGGAGGAGCCTGAAAGCAGGAAACAGAGAAACAAGAAACCAAACTTCAAAAGTGGGACAGCAGAGACAGAAGCTGGACCCCGGAAGTGGAGCTGGGAGCTGAGGGGACAGCAACTAAGACATGCACTGAAGTAGAGAGGGAGTGGCAGCAGCAGCCCGTGGGTGGGAGGGCAGGGCAGGCAGGCGATGGTGGTCAGTTAATAAATAATGTTGAAGGACCCAAGGATGAGGGGGGCAGGTATGTACAGTGCCGAGGCCCCTGGGCCAGCCCCTCCCATGCCCCGCTCTAGGGGCCAGGGATCTTGGAAGGGAAGGAAAGGGAGGCAGAAGACCAGGGAAGGGCAAGCTGTCCCGCCACTGCCACTCTCATCCTGCCTACTTCTTAAGAGGCTTCTTAAAGATTTTGAGGGGAAACTTCTTCCGGCCTGGGCTGGAGTCTGTCTCCTCACCAATGGAGCCATTATCCTCCTCAGCCACAGCCTTCTTGCCAGCCAGATGGGGAATGCGTGTATTTCGGCTGGCCTGCAGGGCTCGGCTGTCCCCAACTGGAGATGGTGTTTCTGGGTCTGGGGAACTGGAGCTGTGAGAACGGGAAGAATCCAAAAGTGGAGAGCCACCAGGTGGGGCTGAGGGGCTCAGCTCCATCAGGCTGTGGGCCTTGTCCAGTCCATGGTTCAGCGCCAGTAGTGCCTTCTTGGCCAGGGCAGGGCTGTCAGGCAGTTTCTCCGCCAAAGACCCAGGGTGGACCCCCTCAATCAGCCGGTGGCTGCCATCGGAAGTCATGGCGTTGAGGGCCTCATCTGCAGCACGGACCATCTGAGGAGGCTTGGGGGCCATACGCTGGCGGTCACTCATGTGGAGGGAGGACTCCGAATCGGAAAGGGTCAAATCCCTACAAGACAAGGCAGAGGAAGAAATGGACACATATAGGATAGGGGGATGAGGAGAAGGTGAAGAGAAGAGAGGAACAGCATGAGAAGACAAGGAGCGGGTAGGGAAGGGAATAGAAAGGGGCAGGAGAGAGAAAAGAGGATGAACAGGCAGGTGGGTGAAAGAGGAGGAGGAGAAACAGAAGGAAGTTGAGTAGCCGTTAAATACAGGATAAGAGAAGAGGCAGGATTAGGGAATGGGGACACGTAGGGGAAGAGACAGGGAGAGGAGAGTAATAGCAGTGAGAAAGAAAGGCAAAAGGAGGAGCAGATAGAAATAAGAAGGACAAGGGGAGAAAAAAAGAAAAGGAAGAGTGGTGGAGAGAAAAGAGACAAACAAGAAGCAAAACCAACATCATTATACCATCATCTCTCTGGTAAAGGGCTTTCTAGTGATGGGCCCCCACTCAGCTAAGTGTCCAGGCCCTAAACTAGTGCAACCAAAGGCTGAAATTCCTCAAGCATCCTCAATAAAATCTCTTCCTTCCCACAGCTGGGCAGATTTCTTAGGACTCAACTCTAAGCCAACACAAAGCCCACATATTGCTCTGAGTCACCATTTCCCATGACTTCCTCCCTCCATGAACTCCTATCACACCCTGGGATACATCCAGTCTGGGCCAAGCCCCAAGGTCAGGGCACATGCAGTAAGTGGGCCTGACCCAGGCTGGGGAGGAAAGGTTAGAACAGCCTTGCAAACAATCTCTTATCCACTCCAGAAGGCCAGAATGCTGCCTCTTTCAACCCTCTCACAGGATTCAAAGTGGGTCACAAGAGAAGTTTCAGGGTTCAAACCAAAGTTGGCTAGCAGCTGGAAAGGTGGGGTCTTTTTCAGAGCTCTGTGAGAGGGACAGTGTAGGCAGTGCAGAAACACAGGATGCTGGTCTTTTAAGTAGCAGTGGTTCCAAAGAGCTGCCACTAGAAGTCAGAAGGTCTGGTCCAATTTCCATCTCTGCCTGAGGCTTGTTATGTGACATTAAACTTAAATCATCTAACCTTGCTGGTCCTCAGTTTTGGCCAAATGAAGATAATACCAATTCAGTAATCTTGGAAGGCTGTTTGGAGGATCAGGTATGTTGGCAATCACTTGGAAATGTAGGGAGTATTGTGGGAATGAAGATGATGAGGCCGGTCAAGCTGGAAGACCCATACGTGGGCCAGTCACAAGAGGCTTCTTTGCAAGGCTGAGTTACAGGGGCGTGGCACTGCACCCTGGACATGCACACACCGAGGTCAGTCCAGAAAGCTGAGACCCCAAGGGGCTGGCTACTCGTAGGAAGGTCCATGAACCAATTCCCAATGCCTCCTCTCCTGCCTCTACAGACAAAAGGGTAAATATAGGGGTCCCCTATCTGTCCCTTTACCCTCCATCTGCTTTTCCAGAGGCCTGACAACCCACAGTAGAGGCAGAGGAGAGGGCTAAGGGAAACGCTTAAACATCCAAGTCAGGAAGCCAAAGGGAAGGAGTCAGGAGTGGGAGGGAAGAACACCACAGGATCTGGAAAGGAGGAGGCTGGGGTCAAAACTTCAGGAGGGCACAGGCCCTTAAAATAGGCAAAAGCAGAAGGTTGGCTCATAGCTATTGTACGGTTAATTCTCGGCAGGAAACTAAGCAGCTACCCATCGGCCAGTATTTTCCTGGAGACAAGGAACAGCAGGGAACAATCCCAGCTCCAATTCTATTCTATAAATCCCGTTTCAGCCACATACTCTACTGTTTACTAATATTCAGTCTCATATTTGGTTTCGTATATCTGACCCTGTCCTTTCTTCCATCTAAATGTGCCCTCATTTCCTTAAGTTCCAAAGCTATCCTCTCCATATCCTGCCTCTTCCACACATGTATGAGCCACTGAGCAAGGTGCCGAGACAGTTCTGGGAAGCAGCAATGGGAAGGGGGCCATCTATGCTGATGAGGTGAGGGCCCCAGGAGCCTATGTTTCCAATGCCGGGAAGAGTGGTCAGGAGGTGGGGGGTGGCCTCCCAGCCTCACTCCTTGTGGCCCACAGCCCCATTTGGCCACGATTCCCACCCCTCCATACCTTGTCAGCAATTACAAGCTAAGACCTTCCAATGCAAGAAAAGAGCCTGGGAGGAAGGCCAGGTGTCACACCCTGGAGGTAAAAGTGCTGCTAAGGCAAGGTAACTTTCCCTCCCTGGATCTTTGAGACACTCAGGATGCCAGGGGGTGTCCCTCCCCAAAGGCTGGGCTGCCTTGGGCTCCCATACCAAGCTACTAACCTTACTAGAGAGCCTGTTTGTCTTTAGAGACGATCCTCTGGTGCATGGTGCAAAAGAAAATTAAGTAGTGAACAGGCCAGGTGGGTGCAGGTACCCCCCACCCTCCCTCCCCACTGCCCTCAGCTTGGGACTTGGAGCATGAGATTCACAGCATCCTCTAGTGCCCCAGACCCCAATCCAGCCCTCTCCAGCTGTATGGGAAGGGACAGTTTCCCAGCCTAGGCTCCTGAATGAAAATGAGGATGAGAATGAAGATGAGCCACTCTGCAGGATGAAAGTGCTAGCAAAGGCAGTCCCTTTGTGAAAGACAAAGGAACAGCTGTCAAGGCTCAGAGCTAGAGAGACTGGCACAACCAGAAGTCAACAGTATCAACAGGCTGCAGCCCCTAGGCCAGGGCTGGTCGTGTCTCAACTTCAGAGATGAGAGATCCCTCCAGAGGAGATGGACTTTCTTAGTCTCCCCTAAGCTTGTTCCAGGGAAGGTGAATTCTCTTATCTCTGACCCCAGCCTATCTCCTGAGGTCGCTGCTAGAACAGGCTGTGGGAGAAAGCCTTTCACCAACTCTTACACAGTTCATTGACCGAAGCCTTGTGGAAGGACAAAAATACCCAAAGAGTGCCCTGGAATGGAAAGTCAAGTTCTACTCTGTGTTCCATTCCTAATTAGCTGTGGGACCTGGGGAAAATTACTTAACTTTTCAGAACCTTAAATTCCTATTCTGAAAGTGAGTACTTTATGTTGGCCCCACCTATAAACTTTTCTTGTCCAAAACCCCTGAACCCATTTCCCCTCTTCGGTTCCCTAATTCTGTTCTTTTTTTTTTTGAGAAAGAGTGCACAAACCAGGGAGAGAGGCAAAGGAAGAGAGAGAGAGGAAGAGAGAGAGAGAGAGATTGAGAGAATCTTAAGCAGGCTCCACACTCAGCATGGAGCCCAATGTGGGGCTGGATCCCACAACCCAGGGATCATGACCTGAGCTGAAAGGAAGAGTCAGATGCTCAACCAACTGAGCCACCCAGACACCCCAAGATTCTCTTCCTTTTTTAAAACCCTTTTGCAATTCTCCATTTCCTAAGGGGCGATGCCCAAGCCCCAAGCCTCTCGGAGCCCTTCCTCCTCCTAGCCTCATCTGCCACCCCTTCCCACCAACACACACCAAGTTTCTAACCACAAATACATCATATTCTCTTGAACCTCCACACATTAAGCCTTCCTCTGCCTAGACTACACTTCCTCCTTTTCTTGCACACAGAGTGTTAGCACAAATGTCATCTCCTTTGTGAAACATTCCACCCAGGTGCACACTGTTAGTCACTCCCTCCTCAACACCCCCATAGCACTTCTCAGACTGTTCCGTAATTATTTATGTACCTCTCCTGGACCAGACTGTGAGTCGTGATGGCTGGGATTATATCTGACCATCTATGAATCCCCATGCCCAGCAGAGCCTGGCCCAGAGCAGGTATCAATAAATGTTCTATTGAAGGAGTGAAGGAAGTAAAGACTCCATTGAAATAACGGATGTGAAAGTGCACAGTTTAGGCAAAAGTGCAATAGGACTGTGAGGGAGGGGCGTTGTACTCATTTTTTGAGTCAGCAAAACCCCAAACAGAGAAGGGAACAAAGTTGTGGGGAGTTAGGCTGACCTTAAGAAGGGGCCCAGGACTGGGAAAGGACAGGACCAGGGAAAGATGCCCCACTGCACACACCCCCAGAGCTGACCAAGCAGCAGCCAGCAGGCAGTGGTCAAGGTAAAGGCAGCAGAAAGGCAAGGAAGGGAAGAAAGAGAAGAGAAGAGAGACAGCTGATACCCCAAGCTCTCTGAATGCCCAGGCATCACAGCGGTGCTGTCAGCAGGGGGTGGGTCAGGGTAGGGCTCCATCTGGAGGAAATAGGAAGTGCTGTGGTGGTAATAGACAGGGTGAATATGCACGGTGGTGATGGAGGTGGTGGAGGAGGTGGTGGTGGTGGTGGTGGAGGAGGTGGTGGTGGTGGTAGAGGAGCAGGAAGAAGAAGCAGAGGCAGATGGAGAGCTGGTCCCGTGGCCTTCAGAACTGAAAGACTGTCCAGATGAAAGACTGCGCATTCGCCGCAGAGAGACCCGGCTTGTCAAGAAGTGGCCAGCCTCGCCCTCTACCAACCTCTGAGATCCCAGGCCGTGCTGTGGCTCCGTCAGGCGCTGCCGGACACTGCACTGCAGGGTGGGAGCTGCAAGGAGAGTAAAGAAAGGGTGAAGAGGGGCCGGCCTCCTTGGAGCTGGCAGCCAAGCAGGTTTGCCCCTGGAGAAATGCTTGCTGCAGACCACTCGGCCCTTGGTGCCCAATCTGGAGAATGGGGCACCTCCTCCCGAAAACCTCCCACCAGGGGTCCTAAAAGGAAGGGGAAATTGAAGATGAGGTGCCCAGGTCAGTTTTAGTGGCAACTGCAATGGAAGGATGCTGAGGGCCAATATTATTAGAACAGGGAGGCAGGGCAGTTAGTGGGAGGAAACAGGCCGGGCAGGGTGGGAGGGGGCTGTGGGGTGAGGTCCGGGAGAGCACTAAGAACCAGCCTTTTTAGAAAGCCAACCTCAGGAGGTAATTCACAGCTCAGGCAAGGATTATACACAAACATGCTCATCACATAAATATTAATAATTGTATGAAAATACACATAAAATTGAAATGGGGAAAGTTGTAATATATCCGATTGCTGGAAGACAATACAGCCATTAAAAATGCTGCTTAAGATTTGAAAAACATACAAAAATACCTATTAAAATGCTCAGGGGAAACAAAAGGATACAAATGATAACATAAAAGAAATACCTTGAGCTATGGAACACAAAAGACTAGAGGTTGAAATGAGGCCTTCCCACTTATAGCTGTGGCCTTGCACAACTAACTTCCCTATTTTGAGTCCTAGTTTATAAAATCCGGCAGGGTTGTTGTGATGCTTCAAGAGAGTGTATTCCAAGTACCTGACACAGTTCATGGCACTCAACAAATGGCAGTGGTCATTATTATCTTGGCCACATAAAAAATTATTAAAAATTTCACACAGAGAAGACTGTAGGAAAAAAAGATGTTCAGATACAGTGGGACTTGGTGTGCCTTTTTGTTATGCTCGTATTTACACTTTTCACTTTCCAAATTTCTTCTAACAAGCATGCAGACAACACAGAGCCAGCTCCTGGAACAACGCTACAAATCAGGCTCTCGGAAGATGATGGCCGCCATGCCCAGGGAAGGGATTTATGGGCACCAGGTAACTTGGAAACGTGATAGAGCATCCCCCTTGGGCTCACTTCTGGCTCCAGCTGAAAACAGCATTTCTTTGTTTTTTTCTACTCTACCCTGAGAGATGGGCCTCCCCACCTTCTCCCTAAAGATGGGAGAAAGAGCCAGATGACACCGGTGCCAGAAGCCATGGAGGGGACACAAGGGAGAGAACATGGGTCCACAGTGATGGAGAGCTGGGGTGCCAGGGCTTCTATGGCTGGTGGCTTTCAAGGCATCGAAAGGGAGGCGGAAGAGGAAGAAGCAGCATGGAATAGGAAGAGGCAAAGGGAGAAGTAAGGGGGAAAGAGAGGAAAAGGGAGAAACATGAAAAAGAGAAAAGAAAGGAAGGATCTTTCCTTCTCTCTTTCCATCCCAGCCCAGCTGGAAGAAGGGCCACCAGGGCTTCTGTCTAGCTGGGCCGGAAGGAGAAGCCCAAGCCTTCCATCACTATGGGTGTTCTCTCGCCAGCCCTTGGCTGAGCAGGCTGATTCTTCTCACCCCCGAACCTCTCCTTGCAGTTAGTAGGGACGGTGTCGTGGGAACAGAGGGAGCAGGCAGGGGAGTGAGGCAGGCAGGAGAAGGAGCTCAGGGGTAGGAGTGTTGGTTTAGTCCCAAAAGTCGGAAAAACAAAGGCCCCAAAGGGGCTCCTCAAACCCGGGTATTTCCAGAGGGACTGATCATCCGAGCCGGCGGATGTTGAGCAGAGAGAGCGGTCACTGAACCTACGCCCCATCAGCCAGGCAGCATCTAGGTTCCAACAGCCAGGCCAAAAGGAGAAGAGAATCTGATTTACAGAGGGCTTCAGCCCCACCCTTCAGTGGGATAAGGGGAGGGCGGGGCAAGGATTGGCTAGCTCAGAGCTAATGAAGATCCCTCCCAACCCACCTAACTGAACACAGGAGCCCTGCCTGCCAGTGATCCTAACCTTGTTGGGCCTTTGATTAAAGCCCTGATAGGCTACCAGGCCAGGGTGACAAAGCAGCGTGGCCAGAGGCAAAGTATTGCTGAACCCGGATTATCAAATAAATCCTGTCTGGAGCTGGAGTCCAGTCTGATGAAAGAACCTGGCTTTCTGAAAGTGAGCCCCTAAACCAGCCCCAGATATGGGCCCAAGACAACAGCTTTTCCATAAAGGTCTATTCTGTTTATCTAAAATAGCCTCTGATCCAGAGAAAATTTCAACTGGGCCACTAAGGGGTAAGACCCTCATTCACTGAAGATCTCCCAGAGAGAGTTGTCTCTTGAGAACTTTGCTCTACTAAGCTCTCCCCATTTGAGGGGAGGAAAGGGGAAGGGAAGGCCCAGGAAAGGGTGGAGAGGTCCAAATTTTAGGTGGAAAGCCAGACACGCTTGTGCGGGAGATCCCTCCGGGACAAGAATGTCTTTCTGCCTTGGACGATTTAGGGCTATGTCTCTTTAAGGGACTACTGCTTCATGGGGCCTCACACACAAAGAGAGAAAAAGATATTCCATTCGTCCAATTGAGCAATTAAGAATAAATATAAGCACTTGTGGGGATGAGCACTGGGTGTTATGTGGAAACTAATTTGACAATAAACTATTTGTAAAAAATAAATAAATTAAAAAAATTTAAAAAAATTAAAAAAAGAATAAATATAAAAATGAAAACAGATAAAAGCAGTAAAGAGTCAAAATGAATACCATTTTGATATAATGAACCACTAAAGGAGATTGTTTCTATAAAGGCACACGGGGAGAAAAAGGAGAATTAAGGGATTTAAAAAACACAAAGAGCGAAGGGAGACACACTTAACACAATAGACCCAGAGGGGCAGACAGAGCATAGAGCAAGAAAAACCACCAAGAGCACAACTGTGGAGGAATCTCCTGACGTGAAGGGTGCTTTATTGAAGGCTGTGAGCTGAACTACCTTCCTTGGTCTCCGCCCCATATGCTGTTCTAAGCACAGCAGCAGCCAACCACTTCTCAACTGGTGCATCAAAGGCTCCTTCCCTCATCCCCACCCAAGAGGTCACCTACATTGCATGGACAAGGGTGACACAATCTCCTCATCCATGTCATCCACGTCGTCGGTCATGATGAAGTGGGCGGGGTTGGGCCGCGTGCTGCCCATCCAGCTGGGGTCTATGTTGAGAGCGGCCACCAGGGAGTGGATGCCAGGGTTGTTGACAATCTGGAAGCCACAGAGGATCTCAATCTGCTGCCAGCGGTGCAGGCGCTCCCGCAGTGCTGCTGTCACCTCACTCAGAGCTTGTCTGGAGCACATGGAAGAGAATTGAAGCCATAGGCGGGTGGGAGCCCCAGTCAGAATGAGGCTTCTTAGAGGAACAGGTTGGGGGAATATGTGCAAATAAGAAACACAATTAAATCATAAACTTAAGAGCAAGGTGGGAGCAAGGTGGGAGCCGGATAAAGGCCGGGGCAGGACACCAGAGCTGCCCCTCCACCAATGAAGAAGCAGAACTGGGGTTGGAGACTCTGTACACCCTCCCACTCCGCAGGTGGGGTGGACGCTGCCAGAGCTGATCATCAGGGCTACTTACTTCGCAGTTAGGATTTTGTGATCCACATCATCCAGGGAAGAGCTGTGGGCCACGTGGAAGGTGCCAAAGAGTGTGTTTCTCTTCTTTTTTATCTTCTCGGCCTGCAAAGATGAGGTCCTCAGCTTAAACAGAGCAGGATTAGAGGTTGGAAAATGAGAAATGCCTTTCAGTGGCTGGGTCCCCCTCCTCCTAGCACAGCTTAGGCTGCACGAGAGACAGGAAGAGAAGGGAAAGGAGGGTAGGGGGAGGGAAAAGAATGGGGGAGGAAAGAAAATGGAGGCAATGAGAGAAGCAGTGGGATCCCCGGACAGTCCCCCAGCCCCAGAAGGGTTCTGCCCCATGGCGGGCTGGGGCCAGCAGAGCTTTCCCTCTACCTGCCTCCACTTGCTTCATCTTTCCAGAAGGCAGGTGGGAGTACACCCATGCCCTCATTCCCTCCTCCAGAAACTTGAGGGCATCACCAGGAACTATATATCAGGAAAAGAAACAGAACCCAGCACGAGGATATCTCTCGGTTCAACAGGAGGGATAGGGAGAGGCAGAGAGGAGGAAGAAGGACAGGTGGCAGGGGGGTCAAGGAGGAGAGAAGAGAGTGGTGGGAAGGCAGGTCTCACCCCTTCCTTGGCCACCAGCAGCTGTTTCTCGGCATTTTGCTTCTTGATGTTATAGTACTGCACCTCCACCTCGTGTGTCAGCTGCAGCCACTTCTGAAGGGCCTCTGGAGCATACCATGAGCTGTGTGATTCCAGCTCCTTTTCTGCTTTCCTCAGGGCTTCCCGAACCTGTACAGCCAAGAGGATGTGATCCATTACTGCTACCGTGACCCTCTCCAATGCCTCTGACAGCATAGAATTCTGAGTTCTTATCTGCTATCTCATGTGAGCTTCCAACCCTCTCGAGAGGCAGAAAGGGCAAGGATTAGTCTCTGTGATTTATATACTACAAGGAGGCAAACTGGGAGAAGGAAAGTAACCTACTCAAGGTCACACAGTGAATAGTGTCAACCAGATCTCAAATTGAGATTTTTTTGCTGCCAGACTAGAGCATTGTGCTGCCTCTCCTGGCCTGCACCCAGTGTGTGCAATCATCCCTCCTCTCTCGAGGCTCTGGTCAGCTCAGTGAGTCAACTTCTTTCTGAGAGGTGGGGGTCTATACTCAGACCTCAAGACATCACCACGTAGCAGAAAAAGCACTTGACTGGGAATCAAAAAATCTGATTCTGGTCCCTGGCCTGTCACTCAACTGGGCCTGTGACCCTGTGCTTTCTATAGAAGATCTCAGTTTAGTGTGAGGAAAAACTTTCTCCCTTGCAAATCCAAACCACAGTAAAGGGGTGATCTTAGGAGGAGGTATGTGAACAGCTCAGGTCAGAGAGCCCTTAGAAATGATCACTACTCCAGAAAGGAGTACCCTGAATGCTCTCCAAAGTGTCCTGTAGCCCAGACGCTTTGTCTATGATTCTCCCATTGAGCAGGGCAGCTAGGCTTTGAAGGGCACCCTCTACAAAAAGCATGCTCACTTTGAGCATGGGCATTGCCGAAGGAGGCCACGACATGAGAGAAGCAATGTGTAAGCAGAGATCTATCTCCTCACTGACTTCTCAGCAAGGAGCATCCAATGAAGCTGACAGTCACGAAGCACTAAACATGGAAGGTCTGAGATTGTATACAGACATTATGCACACTGGATCCCTTGCTACCTCACATAGGTTACAGTAGAAGTGACCCCCAAGTCCCCCATTGGGACACTGACATTTAGCTGGTCAGAATCCCAGAGAAAAGGGATTGAGAGACAGTTTTACTATGCCTAACTGCAGCCAATGGGGCAGGTATCCCAGAGCAGGCCTGAGGTTATCTCCACGACCTGAGATAGACTGGGAGGGCCTTAGCTAAGGACAGAACACCTGTATTCCTTAGAGAGCCAACGAGAGGACAAATCTCCACTTGGTTTTCGTTCCTTGAAAAAGCTGAAAGAGAAACTATAACTTAGCTCACTCCTGGCTTTGTAGATTGAAAATGGAGAACAGATGCCTGAGAGTCTAATAGACCAAGTCTGAAAATGTTTTATCAAGTTCTACCTTGAAAGGAGAGAAAGGAATGGGATAAGCTAAGGGGGGAGGGAGGGGGAGGATGGGGAGAAAAGAGAAAAAGAGCAAAGAGAGGGCAGTGGGACAGTTGGGAAAGGCTGGTCTAACAAGGCTCAAAATGGTTTATTAAGAGAAATAGTTACAAAATAGGGAAAAGGAAGTGGGGGGCAGTGGGGGAGAATGGGAGGCAGGGAGACAGAGACAGACACGTCCTGCCACTCACAAGGAATGGATGCCTGGAGGAGATAAGAGCTGGTAGAAGTCAGAGTATTGTTTTATTCTATGGTTGTGGTTCTCATCGTGCCACACGCTAGAATCACCTGGGGAATCACATTTTTAACAATACTGATATCTGGACCCAAACCCAGATTCTAGTTTCACAGACCTGGGGCACTGGCCTGTGGGTATCTACACTTTCTCATGCTCTGCAAGTGATTCTACCATGTAGCAAAGTTAATAACCACTGACCACGTGCTTTGTTACACCTGACTTCCACTTCCCCATAGGATGCAGTAGGTCATGCCAGAAGAATAATTCTGATCCAACACAGCATCTGGGGAAAGCTAAGTTATAAAAATTACAAAATTCTTGAAAGACAAATTATTACAATTATAAGTTTTCAAAGACATCAGAGAGCTGTAGAAGCAATAAAGACTAGGTCTACTATTTTCCAAGTATGACCCAGAGATCCTTGAGTGCATCCTTTCAGAGCATCTGTGAGATCAAACTATCATTATAATCATACTAAGACGTTATTTACCTTTTACACTCCCCTTTCACTCACTACTGAACTACAGATTGCGCCAGAGGCTACATAAGTAAATATCGTAACAGATTGAATATAGACACTAACTTCAGAATCAGCAGTCTATTAAGCCTGACATTGAAAGTATTTGCAAAACTGTAAAACAAAACAAAACTTGATTCTCATTAAATTATTATTTTGAAAAATGCAATCATTTTTTCAAAAAATATTTGCATTGATATTTAAGGAGTTTAACATACTTATTTTAAATGAGTTGGTAAATTTTTTAAAGATTTTTTAATGTTTTATTTTATTTTTGAGAGAAAGAGAGAACACGAGTGGGGGAAGGGCAGAGAGAGGAGGAGACACAGAATCTGAAGCAGGCTCCAGGCTCTGAACTGTCAGCACAGAGCCTGACATGGGGCTTGAACGCACGAACTGCGAGATCATGACCTGAGCTGAAGTCAGATGCTTAATCAACTGAGCCACCCAAGTGCCCCATTGCTTTATATATTTTTAAACTATAGTTTTAGATGTACCCAAATTAAGTGTTGTTATGTTACTGTTGGATTCACACATTATCAGGATGAAATGTCCATTTTTGAATCTAGTAATACTTCTTGCTCTAAAGCGACTCTGTCCGGTAGTAATATAGCTACTGCTGCTCCATTTGTATGATATATCTTTTCTCATCCTTTTTCTTTTACCTGTTTTATATTCTTACAGCCTGCCTCTTATAAACAGCAGATAGCTGTTTTTTTGTTTGTTTGTTTGTTTCTTTTTTATCCAGTCTGACACTCTTTGCCTTTCCATTGTATTGTTTGGTCTGTTTACATAAACCAAGTCTCAACACATTTGAAAGAACTGAAAATATACAGCATATATTCTCTGACCACAGTGAAATTAAATTAGAAATCAATGAGAAAGATCACTGGAAAAGTCCACAAGTGTTTTAAAATTAATCAACATACTTTTCCTAAATAACCATGAGCCCCCCCCCCCAAAGATTGCAACAGAAATTAGAAAATCTTTTAAACTGAATGATAATGAAAATACCAGAACTTAGTAAATGCAGCAGCTAAAGCAGTGCTGAGCTGGAAATGTATAGCTCTAAATGCCTCCGTTGAAAAATATTAAAGGTTTAAAATCAATAACCTAATCTTCCACCTCAAGAAGCTAGAAAACTAAGGAGCACCCAACTGGCTTGGCCAGTGGACACACGACTCTTGACCTGGAGGTTGTGAGTTTGAGCCCCATGTTGGGTGTAGAGATTGCTTAAAAATAAAATCTTAAAAAAAGAAAAATCCCTAGGAAAATAAGAGCAAATTAAAAAAAAATTTTTTTTAAGTAGGCTTCACGCCCAGCATGGAACCAACACAACGCAAGGCCTGAACTCACACCCTGAGATCAAAACCTGGGCTGAGATCAACAGTCGGACACTTAACCAACTGAGCCACCCAGGCACCCCTAAAAAATGTTTCTAAAGTGCAAGACTTCTACACTGAAAACTACAAAACTTTGCTGAAAGAAATTTTAAAAGAACTAAATAGGTGACAAGATAAACAATGCTCATCGATTACAAGAATAATTTGGTTAAAATGTCAATTTTTCCCCATATTAATCTCTAGATTACATTTAAAACCAATAAAAATCCCAGCAAGGGCTTTTTTTAGGCAGGAGTAAGGGGTGGGGGAGTAGGGAGGACTGGTAGAATGACAAGCTAATTATGGAAATGCAAAGAACCTAGAATGGCCAAGGCCATCTTGAAGAACAAAGCTGGAGAACTTACTACCAATACTGAGACTTAGTAGAAGACAATGTGCTTTAAGGACAGACAGACTACAGAACAGAATTAAATATCTGAAAGAAAAAAAAAGAACCTTGACTTCCTACCTCATATACACAAAAACTAATTAGAAATAAACCACAAACCTAAATGTGAAAAGTAAAACAAGAACACTTCTGGAAGAAGATTCATAAAAATATCTTGGGGATCAGGAAAGATTTCTTAAATAGGCCACAAAAAGTACCAACCACTTAAAAAAAAAAAGATTGATTAAATTGACTTCATTAAAATTAAGACCTTCTGTTCATTAAAAGCAATATTAAGAGCAAAAAAGCAAGCTACAGGGTTGGAAAATACTTGTGTTATATATATAAAGGAAGATTTACATTTAGAGTATATAAAGAACTCTTATAAATCAACTAAGAAGTTAACACAATTTTTTAAAATGAAAAGAGATTCCCAAATAAAATGGTCAAAAAATTTATCAAAACATGTTTATTATTATTAGTCATTAGGAAAATGAATATTAAAATCACAATGAAATACCTCTAGATCCCAGAATGTGTGCAATTAAAAAGCCTAAAAATGGGGCGCCTGGGTGGCTCAGTCGGTTAAGCAGCCAACCAGCTCAGGTCATGATCTCCCAGTTGGTGGGTTCGAGCTCCGCATTGGGCTCCATGCTGACAGCTCAGAGCCTGGAGCCTGCTTTGGATTGTGTCTCCCTGTCTCTCTGTCCCTCCCCTGCTTGTGCTCTCTCTCTAAAATAAATAAACATTAAAAAAATTTTTTAAAAAGGAACAAAATAACTGTTATCACCTGTTATCCCCCAGTCTTTGAAAATCACAGTGACCACTTTTTTACAACTTTTCCACCATTATTGGAAAGACTACTGAGGTGACTCCTGAAGATGTTCTTTGAGCCATATTTCAAAGTCCTTGCACATGAAACATTCCAGCTGGAACTTTGGCCCTGCACTTTTCCTACCCCCCCACCCCAGGGTGTCCAGGAGATAGTATACTTCCCCTACCTGCTCCAACTCCTCCTCTGCGTATTTTTGGCGGCTCCGCTCATTCTCAGTACCCTCCCGCAGCTCCTTCAGCCGCTGGGCTTCCTGCTTGGCAAGGTTGATCTCATCACGCAGCTTCTTCTCCAGGTGTACCTTCTCCACCTCCACTGTGCGGTGCTCCTCTTGGGCCTTGTGCAGCCTGGGGAGCGATGCAGGGAGCTGGAGAAGGCCAGGCAAGGGGTGCCAGCCAACATGCCACAAATCACGGCATCAAAGAGGAAAATGAGGGCTCTGGCACTCAGAATATATTCTCCTTACTCTATTGACTGGCTCTGAGTTAGCTCAGGGCCAAAAGAAACCACAGTGGTTACCATATTTCTCATCATTTTGGTGCCAGTAATCATGCTAGGTTCCTGGGTATCCAAATCCTTCCTCTGAGGGATTTCACATACGATCCTACCAACTGCTAACTTATAGGGTATTCCCATGTGTCTTCCCTTCAGAAAATGACGTATTGTATCATCAGCCTAGGACAGGTATGGATTTAAGACTTAGAAAGGAGAAGTAATTGCAGATAGAACAGAGACTAGAATTCCAATCTATAGGACTCCACACCCCATAGTTATTCCCCGTATCCTCAGGTATCTGGAAGGTTCAATAAATGTAGAATTTGCTGCAAGCTAGCCCAAAGATCCAGAGAAGGCACGATGGCTGAGATACGACTGGGGTGGGGGTCCTGGAGATATTTAGGGAAGACGAGAAAGGAACCATTGAGAACCACCTCTTGGAGTCTTGAGTACTTGTTTCCAGAAGCGCAGAAAAATGAAATTCATACCAAAGGGTCTAGGGAGGGCTCCTGTTGCCCCCAGGCCAGAGTTTCCTTTCTAAGTATCTTCCATGGTGGGTAAGATCTCAAGGGCTCAGTTATAATGAAAATACACCTTTGTACCCACTCATACATTCCCTCTGTTCACTGACAAAAACTTCAAGCCATCCAACCCAGCCACCTTCCTTCCTCCCTCCCTTCCTCCACATATCTATGCTAACCCATTCATTTATTCATCCATTCATTCAACACGAATTTTCAAGTGTCTGCTGAATGCCAAGCTCTGTGTGAAGTCCTAGATGCATGGAGATGAATGAGAAACTGGTCCCTGCCACTGAGGAGCTCATGATCTAGTCCAATATAGACAAATAAACAGATAACTATACACAGTGTGATAAGTTCTAATAGAGAGAGACATACAAGGTGTTGGATGAGCCCAAAGGATGGAGTGACCAACTCTACCTGAAAGGAGTTGGGGAAGGTGACTAGACCCAAGAGAAAAAATAAGAGTTCTCTAATCCCTCTGGAAGAAGGGAAGGACTTGGCCACTGTTGGGTCTTCCTATCTGAGTAAGAAACACCAAGTCACAGGAGACCAGGGCAGGAGGGTAAAGGATGATGAAGAAGACAGTGATATATTGCTTAGACCTGAGGTACAGAAAGATAAAGCTACAGAACAGAAGGAGCCCTCAGAAAAAAGTACTGACCACTGAGTTAATTAAGTAGGTGAAACTGAAGAGGCAAAGACAGAACTCAGCCTCTAAAAACTGCCAAGTCACGTCCATTGGGCACCTTGGTTGCTCAGTCAGTTGAGCGTCCGACTTCAGCTCAGGTCATGATCTTGCCATTCATGAGTTCAAGCCCCACGTCGAGCTCTGTGCTGACAGCTCAGAGCCTGGAGCCTGCTTCAGATTCTGTCTCCCTCTCTCTCTGCCCCTCCCCTGCTTGTGCTCTGTCTCTCTGTCTCTCAAAAATAAAATTAAATTTTTAAAAAATTTTTAATAAAAATAAAAACTGCCAAGTCAAGCCATCTGTCAATGGCTGAAGCCTCAAGAGATGTGGTGGGACAAGCAGGAAGGGATAGGAAAAAAAAAGGGGGGGGGGGACCTAGGCTGCAAGCTTCCTGCTGACAAAATGCAGTCCACTTTGTCCCTGGAGAGAAAGGCAGTTGAGCCTCCTCAAGATACACACCAGGTGGCGCTACAGGCAAGGCTAAAAACAAATCAGAGGCGCCATTTCCTGCCCCCATCAGCTTCCCTTGTTGAATGCCCTCCTTTATTGTATTCTTTCATGGCCCAACTGCCTGAAATTACACCATTGGGGATTCAGTTCTTCACTGAATATAATCCTCTCTGAAAGCAGCCTCTTCAGAAAAGCCTATGATCTGTCTGCATTGTCGAGATAATAGGGAACTCTTTTAAAGTAGAATCAAAACGGAACCACTTTATAGTCCTAACAGGATCTAGCAGAGATGAAGATCAATAAATACTACTGGGTGCAGACTTGAGCAGATACATGCACAGTCAAGCCTCACCCCACCTCATCTCCTCCACAGAAGACTGAGCATCTTGAAGGGCAGCAGTCAGTTAGCGTTACAAGTAAGAAAAATCGGAAGCCTGACCGCAAGCCCCGGCTCTAAGCAGTTGTGTGACTATGGACAAGTCTGTTCCCTGTACCAGGCTTGTTTCTTCAATTCTAAATGGGAATCAAAATCCCTGCCTCGAAGAATTTTCTTGAAACCCAGTGAAATCCTACCTGGAATGCACATGTAGCATTACATTTATTCACCCAAAGTATCAGGAACTCTGGAAAAAAAAAAAAAAAAAAGCTCTCTGGTGGCTGGCAGTGCAGGCCTGTGAAAGGAAGGAAGGACAAGGTGGCATGTGGGCTCTGGACACTCTCAGAGAATATGTGTGTGCATGTGTGTCAGGCTGTCTCTGGGAGTGTGCATGCATTTGTTTCTCTACAGGCCACAGTGGTCATTAAGCTCTGGAGGCCTTGGGGAGCAGGGAGCGCTGGGAGCTTAGTTTTATCCCCAAACTTGGAATGTCTCCTGCCTAGATTCTTTGGCTTTGGAATGAAAACAGTACATGCTTTTCAGACAAATGAAGAATGGGGGCTGTCCAGATAGCAGCATTTAGCCCCCAGTTAGCAAAGGGCCCAGGAACAAGGGGCCCAGAGAAGTAGCTCAGAGATAGAGTTTCACTTGCCCCCAAGAAATCCAGCAAGTGGAAATAAATGCAACAGGGCCACCTTTCCTGAGGCAGCACCCCATGGGTGTCAAAATTCCTGGCTCATACTTACTGATATGTGACCCTAAGCAAAGTACTCACCCTCTGTGAGCCCTCATTTCTTCAACTTCTAAAATAGTAATAGTACCTACCTAACGTGGTTGTGGTGATTTAAAAAAAATAATGCATTTAAGCAGTTAACAATACCTAGCTCATAAGAAATCCTTTGCCCACCCTCCAAAGAAAATAGTATCTATCATTAAAAAGTAACAGAAAAGAGCCAGATGTCATTTCTTTTTACATGCATTCCTAAAAAGACTTCTTAATGGGAATCCCTAGGCTGCCAAAATAATTTTCTAAAAAAGAGTCCTGAAGTAGGTCCCTCCTATTCTCAAAAACAAAACAAAGCAAAACAACAACAACAACAACAACAACAAATACCTGCATTGACTCTCCACTGCCTTTTACATCTTTCTAAAACTGCTCCATGTGAGTCTTAAGGTGCCAGGGTTCTGGCCTCACTCTATGTACATTCAACCCGAACTCCCAGGACCTCCCTACCATCTTTCAAGAACTAAAGGTATCAGGAAGATAGATTTGGGAGATTTCTCCAGCAAACAATGAAGAACAGGTAATTATGTCTATTTTTACGGGAAGGATAACAGTCCAGAGGCAGGAAGAAGGATACACTGGATAAGCCATCCACCCAGGGAAGCTCTAGATCTCTGACGGCTACACATTTCTCCCTCTGAGACTCAGAGGGAGGAAAGACAGAAATAAGCCTCTGCCCTGGGGAGGAATGTTTGCCTGTGCAACTGCAGTGTCAGGAACCTATGTTCCCAGAGCAGTTTGGGGAAGTATGGCACAGCCTAGGAGGCGACGCCAGCATGATCTTGGGGGCGAGATGGCCCACAACCTGGGTAGAAACAGGAGGCTCCCAAGAGCTGGCAGCCTCGGGACTGTGGGGAAGGGGCAGGGCCTTACCTTTCCTGAAGGTCATGCAGACTCTGCTCAGCTCTGTGTAACCCCTCCAGATCCTTCATCATCTTCTTCATATGCTCCTTTGAGTAACGGTTTTGGATGTAGGCAAACCAGCAGCCACCCACACCAATAACGATAGACACCACCAGCATGAAGTCCTTGAGGTGATTATGGCGGGTCACTGCCAGAGAGAAGGCCATGGTGAGACAGGATGTCCACTGCACACCTAGCTTTGCAACTCCACGCATCCCCTCCTGCATGAAGCCCTCCCACTGCAGAAGAATTTGTTTCTCTTCTTAGACACACACTTGCCACACACTAGTATAGTGAGCTCTCTGCCTACTCGGAAAAGGTGAGAGGCCTGAGAGCCATGCAGGAAGCTTCTTAAATCATACTTCCCTACTATGCGGTGAACAGGAGACAACTAGTGCCTTCTCAGAGCATCCCAGCTACCCCTTGACTGCGATGAGCACATGTGCCCACACGCAGTGGCTTCTGTGCTATGGGATCAGCAACACTAGAGTACAGAGAAGGGGACAGCTGGTAAAAGTATAAAGCAACATCACTAGAGCTTGAGGCCTGGCTGTGGGACTGATGTTCCTGCAGGAGCCAGGTCTCCTGGACAACCAGGCTATTCCAGGTACAAGATAGAGCCCAGATCAGGTAAAGGTCTGCAAGTCTGACCTATAGAGGGCCTTCCTAGGCTGTGACTCAATCCAGAGACCAAGTACAACAGAGTAACATCAAGAGATTGGCATATACAGGACATTGCCCATGCCAGGGACCCAGGGACAGATCTACCTCCAGAGAATGGCTGGTGGCAATTTGGCAAAGTGCCAGTGTAGTGGCTGGGGTTCAAAGCAATGCTCAGTCTCTAGAGCAAAACTGAAAAGCTTGAACAAGGAACAACACCAGAAGGTAAGTACAAAAGACATGTCCTCAGAAGTGAGCCAACCCGAAGAGGGCTACTCCTGGAGCCTGCCGTTGTTCCCAGTCCACCAGGTCTGGGCTCTGAGCCACAGCACAGGAAGCCTGAACAGACACCATAAGGAGAACAGGGTTGCTATGGGGCCTCTGCCTGGGCTGGACTCAACTCAGGAGACAGTAGCAGTGGGCTCAGAGGAGCCCCAGCCATGGGGGGTCAGGGAAGGAAGAAGAGAGGGAATGCCTTCATGTGCACAGCAGGTCACCCTCAGTTTGAGGAGGGGGCAGTAGGGTCAACAGGACCCCAGTGCCTGGTAAGGATGAGGGGCTGACGGGAAACCAAAAGGACCCTGGTGGAGCCACCAAGTTGAAGCAGGGTCTAGACAACAGGAAAAGATACATTTAGCTGGAAACTGTGTGAAGCTGAGGCCCAGATTGACAGGGTTATAATCATAGTTCCTGACTGAAAGCTGAGCAGCAGGACATGGGGACAGTGTGGGATCAAAGACAGATTAGCACATTCTATTTCCATCCAAGGGAGGAGAGTTACGAGGTCCACGGTAGCACCCATGTCCTTTACATGTTTAGGCCAGACTCTCATAAAGAAAACTGAGGGTCCCTTGGTAGCCATCCTCTGCCTCCAGGCAGCCTTCCAACCATATGCAAGTCCTCCCTCTCCTGTCCTTTGGGTCCCAAGAGATATCTCTGCAGCACGGTGAGCTGCCTTTCTTTCTGGAACACACCTACCTCCTACATAGCCTCTTCCAGAGGCCGGGATACTCTCTGTCTCCCCTGTTTGTTACAGACTTTTAATCTTGGCTTCTCAAGGTTTACCAACTCCAACACCCCTTTTACATTCTTACTAAAAGTCAGAGGCACTCCTGTTCAAACAAGACTCTGAAACACCAGCCCCCTATTGCCTCCAACACTTCAAAGTTCTCAAGATGGGCATGCAGATTGGGTACCTAACTATATTCTGCTCAGTCCCTGTCCCACTTTGTCCAGATTGATGTGGAACAAGAGTCTATTATTTTTTTCCAGCTTCATACTTTCATCCAACTCATGAATACAACTACTGAATGACCGGGGCCAAGGGTAGGATAGTCATCCTTTCCTCTAAGGCAACACTGTTCCACCTACCACTACCCTTTGGATCTCTTCAACCAGCTTTAACTCCACTTAAATATATAAGCATCCATACACACCTCTGTCAAGTGCATAGTTAGAGCTCAGAGACACTGCCTGCCCCATCCCATGAGCTACCACCTTGTCAAGAGGAAAATGAGTCTAATCTGGCTGACTCACTTTGTGGACCCTAGTGATCATCGCTTGTCTGTATACCAGTGTCCAATACAGCAATGACCAGCTCACACACGGATTCAGTAAATATTTGTGGAACTGACCCTATACTGGTAATTCTCAAGTATGATATCTCCCTCCTTAAACCACATAGGCGAGGAAGGGAAAGAGGAGATACATAACACATCAGGCATTTATATACACCATCTTGAATTCTCACAGCCACCCTAGAAGGCAGGGTATTTGTGTTTCCACTCTGTAGACCAGAGAATTGAGTCTCCACAGGAGCACTGACTTGCTGGAGTTCATCAAAAGTGACAGGGCTGGGATTCAGATCCAGACTTGCTTGACCACGTGGTCTTTCTGCTACACCCCACTTTCTCATTACAACTTTCCTACTTGTGCAGCAGGTATTGTCTCTGCTTTGTTACATCCAAACATTGCTCACCATGGAGATGATTCCCTGACCTAGGCAGAGTGTGGCTGTAAGAGTTCCAAAACCTGAGTTTTTGTCCCAAACAACATTTTGGGAGCTGATGATGGCTCATAGGCCATCCAGACAGTGAATACCGAAAGGCCAAATAGCCAGGTCTTTAAGATTAAACATAAGGCCTCGGGGCGCCTGGGTGGCTTAGTCGGTTAAGCGTCCGACTTTCGCTTAGGTCATGATTTCGCGGTTCGTGGGTTCGAGCCCCGCATCGGGCTCTGTGCTGACTGCCAGCTCAGAGCCTGGAGCCTGTTTCAGTCTGTGACTCCCTCTCTCTCTGACCCTCCCCTGCTCACGCTGTCTCTCTCTCTCTCTCTCCTAGAAATAAATAAAACATTAAAAAAAAACACTTTAAAAAGATTAAACATAAGGCCTCATGTGGAATCCTTGTGCCATCAAAAGTAGCACCTTGCACAGAATATTAAGAAGTCTGGGTTCTATGCTTGCCTCCGCTTTACCTGGATCTCAGCTTCCTCAACTCTAAAATGCATTGTCACTGAACTGCTCAAGAGATCAAGTGCATATTTATGAATGAAAGTGCTTTGAGGTGTTCTGGAAATCTTCAGCTGGACGTATCCGTTAGGTAATTAAGAATGTGCATGTGGAGTTTAAATAAGAGGTAGTAGCTGGAGAAGAAGATGTGAAAATTATCAGGCCCCTTCAGTGTAGCCCTGGGCAGAATCCCATAGTCCAAAGTGAATCTGTGATGTTAATTTTATGTGTCAACTTGACTGAGCTAAGGGATGCTGAGAGAACTTTCTTGCCTTGATAAGAGATTAGTATTTCAATCGGTAGACTGAGAAAAGGAGACCATCTTCACTAATGTGAGTGCATGTCATTCAATCATCCTCAGGCCTGAGAGCCTGAATAGAACCAAAAGGTGGAGGAAGGATGCATGTGCCCTCTCAGCATGAGCTGAGACATTTATCTTCTTCTGCCCTCTTACAGCAGCACACCTGATTGTTGGGTCTTCAGACTCAGGCTTGGACATACAGGATCAGCCCCCTAATTCTCTAGCCTTTGGACTCAGACTTAAACCATCAAGTTCTCTGACCTTCAAACTCAGACTAAGTCAAACCACCGGCTTTCCTGGTTCTCTGGGGGCAGATGGCATATCACAGGACTTTTTGGCCTCCATAATCATGTAAGCCAATTCCTATAATAAATCTCCCCTTTATCTCTATCTCTATCTCTATCTAGCTATCCATATTATGTTTCTCTGGAGAATCCTAATACAGAATCTATAAACTGTTGTGCCAGAAAAAGAGGTGAAATGAAGAGTCTCGTCTGTGCTTTACTAATGATGTACTTGCCCCCATCACCATTCCATTCCCATTTTTCATGTCCTACCACATTTCCAGCCTACCACCGCAGCCCTCCATGGATATTTCCAATCCTTCTCCTCTGACTAGGATTCCCCAACCAACCTACTCTTTGTACAGGTAAACTTGGATTAACTCCTGCCATCTCAGGGACTGCCTTGCGTGGTTTTAAACTTTCATGTTGGTCACCTTTTGATAGTCTGTGAGTTCCTCAGGGCCAGGGCACAAGACTTATTTCTCTCTATAGCCCCATACTTGGCACAGAGCCAGACTAGCACAGGTACTCAGCACAGGTGGAAAGGAAAGACAAAGGGAAGAAGGAAAGTGGTTTTCCCAGGGAAGATATTATAATAGAAAGTGCATGTGAAAGGACACGGAGAGCATGGCTGACCATCCTGCACAGTTCCTGCACAAGCTCAGCTCTCAGAACCTACTCCATGCCCAGCAAGCACTGCTAGGGCGGACAGACCATGGAGCTTTCATTGAGAGCAGGTGTGGCTGGCTAGGTGGACAGAGCTAACCCAGGGAAACTGGCTAGGACCTGGGGAGCCAGAGAGTGGCAGAGTTCCCAGCCAAGTGCTACAAATAGATTTTAGCAAAATGAGGTCAACTGTTAATACAATCAGGCCCAAGGCAAGGGAGGAGGGTATAAACAAATGAGATGCTGACTTATTAACAGAGTCAGGAGTAATGGTGAAAATTTTTATGGTACAGTTAGCATTGAGAAAGTGAGCCTCTAATCATTACCATTTTCAAGAACCCCCTCTTCCAATCTATTCTCACCACCTTCTCTAGTGCCCACAATACTCTGTCCCTGGCAGATACACCTATTCATTGCTTACTGCCAGAAATTTCTTTTGTTATTGACACAGCCTTCTGTGCTGAGGTATCTGGTTAACCTATAATTACTATTCCTGGACCTTCTTGCTTTCTGGTTTTAACCCAAGAAGTGCTTTAGTCAACTCACATATCCACAGAAGACATTCCACAGTGTTCTCCCCATAGCCAAGCTGAGCCAGACTCTCCTCCCATCTCCCCTTCTGCTTCCAAGGGACCTCTCCCCTTTATCTGAGCCAGTGATGAAAGAAGACAAGATGTAAGCTTGCCTTCCTCTCCGCAACCCACCCCCCAACCCCAACAACTACTCTGTAGGCCTCTCTCTGCACACTTCTCAATACCCCTGCTAAAAGTTCAGAGGGTACACTAACCCCTAGCCCAGGAGGTACACACTAAAAACAGTAGCTACATTTATTTAGGGGAAAGTTGGATATAGGGAGCCTTAGGAATGTGCCCAAGGTCACAAAGTTACTGAACACTAGAGCCAGTCTGCTTCATTTCAGATTGGAATTCTTCATAGTTTATCTTGCTTCCTCTACCAGAAGCAGAGGATGGGACAATATAGTAAAAAGAACACTGAAATATAAGTTACTGGGTCTGAGTCATGGCTCTGCCATTTAAAAGTTGAATGATCTCTAAAAACTCATCTTATCTCCCGAGTCTCCATTTCTCTGAGAAATTACCTGCAGAGCAGGAACGCCCCCCGCCCCCCCCGCCCCCCCCCCAGTGAATGATCTGCTGCCAGAGTGAGACATCAGCATAGGTCTCCACAGCAAGCTGCCTTGAGACTTGGTGTGTCATTGCACCACTAACACCTGATCATGGCTTTGTTAGGAGAGCCCGGATAGACCTGCAAGCCTAGAACCAACTCTGCAGGTCAGAGTGACTGTAAAAGGCCATGTCTCCTCTGCAGCCATGGTGGGAATGCTGAGATGTCTTCTACTGTCAGAAAATGGCTCCTGAGTAGCTCTGTGCTGAGCCGGTTTGGTCCTTCTTCCCCATTCCCAAGCTCTTGAGGCTGCTTGGATGGATGGACCCTGATCAGTCAGCAGACCTTCCTGACTGTTGTACCAAAAATGTTTCATTTGAGGCTTCTCAAGCTTCAGACTGATGGCAGGATTTTCACTGAGGCTGGGTAAGGCAGCCATGGCTTGCAGCTGTACTTGGCCCAGGCTCTCCAGGGTGTTCATCACCTAAGAACCACAGCCTTAAGAACCCATCCTCTGTACAGAACCAGGTCAGCACTCTAAGTCCTGTGTGGGTGTTAGACAGGGAACAGTGCTCAAGTAGGGATTTTAGCCCATGCTCAGATGGGAACACAGAGCTAGAGGGATACAGACCAAGGGATTCTTTGCAGGTATCCCCCCCTCACCCCACCCAACACAGCCTCACTCTTATAGACACCTCCTGGCAAAGAGCTTCCTAGTATTTTCCTCAGATTCCATCTGGAAATTTTCAAAAATTTTCTTTAACAAGCTGTTGGTAGGAAAGTATAAAAACAGTATTTGCCACCAGGACAGCTTCTGGATTCCAAAACCTTAGCTCCCAGGAGTACACCCAGCTCTATCAGAGTCCTGGAATGAGGGAGCCAGTAGGAGCCTTGACCAAGCCCATTTTACAAATAAGGAAACCAAAATCAAGGCAGGAGAATTGAATTGCCAAAGGTCACTTGATAAGGCAAGGGCCAAGCACAGATTCCTAAAAGTACAGGAAACAGAGAGCAGCAGGGAGGAGCAGACTTCCTGTCTTTTATCCTTTTACCAAGACCCTTACCAATCAAAAGGTTTCCTCTCATAAACCATGAAGTGTTCACCTGAAAGGAATCAAGGATCCTTCAGCTCATTTTTTTTCATAATACAAATCAGAAAACATGCCCTGAGAAAAGTGACCCATACAAGGTCACACAATGAGTAGAAATTTGGAAAAGAGACCAAGGTACTTTACCCTCTTAAATTTTATAAGTTCTCTACATGGAAATCCAGGAGTTACAAAAAAATCAAGCTGTGTAGGGGCGCCTGGGTGGCTTAGTCGGTTAAGCGTCCGACTTTCGCTTAGGTCATGATCTCGCGGTTCGTGGGTTCGAGCCCTGCGTCGGGCTCTGTGCTGACTGCCAGCTCAGAGCCTGGAGCCTGTTTCAGAGTCTGTGACTCCCTCTCTCTCTGACCCTCCCCTGCTCACGCTGTCTCTCTCTCTCTCTCCTAGAAATAAATAAAACATTTAAAAAAAATTTTTTTTAAATCAAGCTGTGTATGTATTATTGTTGTTGTTGCTGTTGTTGAGCTATAAATCACATACCCTAAAATTTACTCTTTTAAAATGTACAGTTCAGTGGTTCTATCATATTTACAAGGTTAATGATGGTTAATTTACCATCAGCACAATTAACTTTAGAACATTATTATTACCCAAAAAGAAATCCTATACCCATTAGTAGTCACTACACATTCCCCCTTCACCCAGTCTCTGCCAGCCACCAATCTGCTTTCTGTCTCTATGGATGCAACTATTCTGGATACTTCATATGAATAGAATCATATAATATGTAACCCTTTATGTCTAGCAGCTTTCACTTAGGGTGATTTCCAGGTTCATCCACGTTGTAGCATGTGTTACAAGTTCATTCCTTTTTGTGGCTGGATAATATTCCATTGTATTTATATACTACCATTTATCCATTTGTTCACTGATGGACATTTGGGTTGTTTGCACCTTTTAACTATTGTGAACAGCGCTGCTATGAATATGTGTACCTGTACTTTGGTTACATTTCTAGGCCTGTAATAGCTGGGCTATAGGATAACTCTAGGTTAGGGGTTGATGGGGAGGGAGAGATAAACAGGTGGAACACATAGGATCTTTAGGGCAGTGAAACTATTCTATACGATACATATATGCATGTCATTATATATTTGTCCAAACCCATAGACTGTGTGACACCAACAGTCAACTTCAGTGTAAACTATGGACTCTGAGTGATAATGTTGTGCCAGCGCAGGGTCATCAATCGTTACAGATGCACCACTCTGGTGGAGGATGCTAACCTTGGGGGAGGCTGTGCATGTGTGCGGGCAGGGTGTATGGGAAATCTGTGTACTTTCACTCAATTTTTTAATTTATTTTTAAAAAAAAATTTTAACATTTATTTATTTTTGAGAGACAGAGAGAGAGCACAAGCAGGGGAGGAGCAGAGAGAGAGGGATACACAGAATCTGAAGCAGGCTCCAGGCTCTGAGCTATCACCACAGAGCCCAATGTGGGGCTCCAACTCACCAACTGTGAGATCATGACCTGAGCCAAAGTGGGACGCTTAACCAACCGAGCCATCCAGGCGCCCCAAGCTTCACTCAATTTTGGTGCAAATGTAGAACTACACTAAAAAATAAAGTTTATTAAAAATTTCAAAAATAAGTACAGATGACAGATCAGCTTGGGCACTTGGCGAGCCAAATGCACAAATCGGAAAATGTTATAGTCTCTGACCCTGCCTGCCAGCTGCTTCTCTGGACTGGTTCTTAGCCCTATAGCATTCTGCCACTGGCATTCTGAACTAAAGCCAACAGCTCCCGATGGGCAGAGTGGGTCCTAAGAGCATGCTAGGTCAAGACTAATTTTCTAAGAAATCTTACCACTTTTGCTCCCCAAGAGTTCACGTGAAGTAAGAGAAAGGACGGAAGGGCTGGCTATCCCCACCTTGCAGATCTTCAGGGGCTGGACTGCCTAATTCTCTTGAGTAACCCCTGGCTGACAAGCCTACCATTTCTTAGGCCTGTCTCTATGATTCCATGGAAGCCCACTTAGTCCTCTTTGATTGTCCAAGGACATAAGATGCTCAGCAATCAATTCATATGCTCTGCATGTCCACAGTGAAAGCAGGGAACAGCTAAATGGCATTCAGACCCCATGGTTTACTTGTTATACCTGAGCATACCTTTTGTATCTTAGCCTTTGTATTCTTGCTCTGGTTGTTTCCTCTGCCTAGAATGCCCTCTCCTGCCACCTGCATGGAATTACACCCTACCCATCCTTACAGGCAGAGGTCACATGCCACCTCTTCTATCAGATGCCTTCTCTATCCCTCCTCTGGACCTCCGAAGCATGGTGTACCTCTCTGGAACTTTCATTTTAATTTTATCCCTTTATGGAAGGATATGATTCATCCAGGTCTTCCTACAGGGTCCAGCACAGCACACACAAAGTAGGTATTTTCTTAATGTATCTAATGAATGGACCTTCACATCTGACTGGATTGAAATATAAGACTATTTCATATCATATTTTCATTTCTCATTGGGAAAAGTGGAGGCACTGCCTTGGAGGTGTACCTAGGAGACCCAGGACCTCAGCCTTGTGCCACCCCCCCACCCCCCACCCATGGCCTCGGGTTCCATGGCACATCAGCAGCCCTTTTCTCCCCAGGACTCACAGAGAGGAGGCCCAAACAGCACTGTGTCCAGGGCCTTCAGCTGCAGCTTCTGCCGATGGCTCCGGTCTGTCATCTTCAGCACAGTCCCTGTCATTGTGGTGTTGGTCACAGCAAGCCTGTAGAGGCACAGAGGAAGGGCTCAGCTTCCTGCCAGTAAAACCAGGAGGGATACTGGTAGGATTACCCACTTCCTCCAGGAACACTTCCATGACTTCTAGCTCTTGGTGATTGCTCCCCTTTGTGCTCTAGAACACAGAGTCCATACCAGTGGATCCACTGGATCTCAACAGGGAGTAAGGAGGGACACATAACATTTACCAAGAATATGTTCACCCTTCTCTCCATGTCCACCATCTCCTGAGAACCTTGCTCTCTGAGGACTATCTATCTGTGAGCATGCCCACACCCAACTGTGAGTTTTCTGTTGTGTTTCTACCTCAAGGGAGTATCGACTATGCACCTATCCCCACACTCTCACCATCTGCAAATGCATTCTCCTGCCCAACCTGGGTCAAAACATCATGCCGCATGACCCAGTGATTCTGAGGACTTCTAATCCTAACCCACTGCCATTAAGTATAAATCTTCTGATGAGAAACAATGTATTAGTCTTATTAGCTTGCATTTGAGTCACTGTCATTTACTCCCAGTCAGATTATTGTAATTTTTTATGACCTTCAACATACTGTTAATGATAACTCTAATAAGAGAGGGCCTGTAAATGAGAAAATGACCCAGAAACAAACTGGACTTTGTTTCTCTTCTGCTAGAACACAGTGGCTGTAGGAGGAGACAGGTATAAGATATGAGAGGTTATAAATCCAGTGGTCTGAGTCCCACACATGAGCCTTTACCTCTGTCGTATTCCACAAAGTTAGTGCTCTTTTCTGATGTATAGCTTTGTTTCCCCAGGTAGAAAAGACACTTCTATCATCAGTGTGTGATTTATACTCCTGCCTGGGCACACAGGGGGAGTTACTTCCTTCCCCAGCCCTGGGAAGCAATCAAGCTCCCCTACAAGAGAAGCAGTGAGACACTGTGATGGGGGCTGAAGGAGTCAGGAGATCTAGCTTCTGGTCCCAGCTGAGTCAGCAACTCACTTGTCTGATCATAAACTGCTTGGTCTCTCCTCCTGGGCCCCTTCTGTGTAAATGTCTGTGAAATCAGATGCTTCCTACAGGCCCGGGAGTTCTGGAAGTTCCTCCTTAGAGCATTTCTACCCAGTGCACTTGCCTTTGTCTAACTGATCAAATAAGCGTCATCTTTTCTGCAGTCTATTTGTCAACTGAACTGACCAATGAGACAACCTAGAAGGAGCTAACATTTACTAAGCAGCTACTGTGTAGCTCGTCCTATTCTGACACTTTACATACAATGCCTTATTCAGTCTTCTGACACAGTTCCAATATTAGCTCCACTTCACTGCTCCACTGACTCGTCTCAGAGTTGAGCAATTGGCCCAAAGTCACGTATATAGCAAGTAAGTGGCAAAGGCAGGAAATGAGTTCAGATCCTCCAGATTCTTCCCATTATACCAGGCTGCCTGGTGGTGTGCCTACAACCACTGCCACTCCACCCCATGTTCTATGCACCGCAGGCTCCAGGCTTCCTGCTGTCACTAAGGTGCCACAGCTTGGCTTCCTCCCCCCGCCCCACCGGGCCTGCTGGATCTGGTCCTGGATCTACTCCTAGCTACAGGAAGGCGCTGGGAGCCCATGACCTGGGAACTGACTTCTCATCCTATGTTTTTGCTTTAATTGAACCGTAGCTATTCTTCAGGATGGAATGGGCCAGGGTGATACCAGATCCACAAGGCAATACTGCAATTTCTGTGGGTAAGGGGAAAGAAACCTAGATCCTGGAGCCTCATGGTCAATCATCTATTTAATTGTCTCTTTCATTAAACATGGAATTCCTCAAGGCAGATGGGGTCTGATGAATTTTTTGTTCTCCGGGTCCTGGAGAGAACCAAGCACAAGATAGATAATTGGTAAAGCTTCATGAAAAGACCTGGGTTCAAATCCCAGCTCTGCCACTTACCGGCTTGGATAAATCATAAAATATTTGAAATTCAGTTTGTTCACCCCAAAGCCAGGGTAGTAATTCCTTCCTCCCAGAATTGTGAGACCCGACTGAAATAACAGGCAGGAAAGTATTCTATAAGGGGCTGTACAAACAGTAAGATCATGACTCTCCCCAGGGTAGGGAGAAGCTGTGAAGAGGAGGCTGCAGGCAGCAGGGGCGGGGGAAGCCGACTCAACTGGGCCTGGACAGCAGTGCCTGGTAGCTCTGCAGCTGCAGGCTGCAAAGTGTGGGCACTCCAGCAGCTTCACCTCCCTGCTTCCCCTCTGCTGAAGCTCATAACCAGATGCACCTACGTAATAGGATGACAGATTATACACAATCAGCACTTACCAGACAATAAGCCTTTGGAGGGCAAGGGCAGGCTGTTGTCAGGATTATCCCCAGAACCCAGCACAAGTGCTTGGCATGGAGCAGATACCCAGGAAATATTTGTTGAATGAATAAGTAAATGGATCAATGGCTGCATGACACGTGGTACTAGTCTGACATAACAAGAAGTCCATGCAGTACTCCATCCCCTCTCCTCCCCCTGTAGACCCTGGCCTACTGCACCTGTGAAGCAGGCAGAGTTAGGGTACCACAGCTATTGGAAGAGTCATTTCGGAGAGGAGGCTGGGGCCAGTGGGAGTCAGCCCCACCTCACACCACTTCTTTAGAGTAGATACACTGTATATGGATAACTCAGGGGAGGCTAACAAAGCCCCAGACGCTTCTGGGCAATAAAAGAGGCAGCTGCTGGAAGTACAGCAAGAGAAAAAAGAAACACCACAGGCTTTGATGTCTACCCAGATCTAGGTTCAAATCAGTTTTGCCTCTAGCCACATGACCTTGGAAAATTTACTTAGTCAGTTTCATCATCAATATACAATAATACCTACCCTACAGGATTAATGGAAGAATTAAATGACATGTTGTATATACAGTGTTAAACAGGAGTGCCTACCATGTACTAAGCATTCCATAAACAACAGCTATTAGTACTACTCCCAGGATCAACAGCAATGTTAAATAAGAGAACGGATGCCAAGTGTCCATCACGCTTTGAAGCAAGTGCACAACGGATGCGAGAAGAAGAGAGGTCTAGAGATTCTGCCCTGAACAGAGTGGAGCCTCACTTAACTGGCCAGAGAAACCTGAAGGTGGGCCGACCCCACTCTATTCCCTACACTGTCAAGTGAGAGAATCCAGTCTCCTCCTGACCTTGGCATGGCATGGCCACTGAGCTGCAGCTTCCGGAAGGTCTCCTCATACTGAGGCAGCTCCACGTACGTGATCAACCACTGCACCACCTCATCCACGGTCCAGTTGTACACTGTGGGAAGAGACAACAAGTGAAGTTTTGACTCCAGAATGCAAGCACCACTTGAACTTACCATCGGTCACCTTGGCATTCTCATTGGCCGCATTTTAAGTGTTTAACATCTCCCTCTCCCACAAATCCTCAGTATAAAAGGGGTATATACTATGCCTTTTGTTTGACCCACAGGGGATGGACTTGCTCTTGCACTGTACCGGTGTTTGGGTGAAATAACCCTGAACTATAAAATAATAATGATAATACTACTAACAAATGCCATCCTTTACATGGTACTTACTATATGACAGGTACTCCTCTAGGGACCTCATATGTAGTAACTCACTGATCTTCACAACAACCATGTGAAAGATAGGTCCCATTTCATTCCTGTTTTATGGATGGAGAAAATGAGGCACTAAAAGGTTATATAACTTTCCAAAAGTTGCCCAGCTAGGAATTGGCAAAGCAAATATCTGGACTCAAGCAGTCTGGTTCTGTAACCTTGCTCTAAGCCATTATGGACTCTCATGCTCTTGCTCTCTCTCTCAGATAGACAGACAGACAGGTAGATGAATGACATACAGGATATGTGCATCAGATGGCACCCAGTAATATAAGCATACTGAACTTAAAAAAGCCTGAGAGCAACTGAGTTACAGCAAAAAGATACCATTTTACTGGATTTGAAGTTTGCTTATATTTAATGTATAAATCTGGTTTTGTTTATATTTGTATACAAATCTTATATAGCAACTTAAACCTCATTTTGTGTTTGTACACATTTAAATAATAATTTGAGTAATCATTATTATAATAAAAACAGTTTAAGTCAGCATTGTAGGTCCAAGATAAATTATTTCCCTTAAAAGGAATTTGTACATTCCTCAAGTTTGAAAACTACTGCTGTGAGCAGCAAGCAGCCAAAAAAAAGTTCCAAAACAGAATGAAATGGTGAGATTTATCACCCTCTTCTCTTAAGGTCCATGTCTTTCCCCAGAACTGCCTTCCATCAGAGTGCTGTCCAGTTTTTCTTTAAAAGTCAGGAAACATCGAAGACATGGACTATGTCCTGTTCATTTTTGCTCAACACACTGTCTCTGAGGTAGAGCTTCTTATGCAGCGGCATCAATAAGAATTTACTCAAAGAATAACCACTCCAAACAAGGAATTCCAGAAATTGTCTGACTGTGGGCCTCCAAAAGGAAACAACTATCTCCCTGAACAAATACACAGCTCATGTGGATGGTTAACTTCTGAAATGGCTGTCAAAAAATAGGCATTCCTCTGGTAAACAACCAGAGGATGTTGGCTTGCTTCTGTCACTCTCACAAAAGCTGGAGAAATTGGAAGGCTGGGCCTGTCCCTTCACTCTCCTACTTCCCCTACAGTGGAGCCCAGCACATGGTACAAAGCAGACACTGAGATATCCTGCAGGAAACAAAGTTGGAGGCAAAAAAGCTCCAAACTCTTCATGTCCTCTAGAAGAGCTCAGGAAGAGGAGCTTAGTCATTGCTTGGTTAAACTTCTAATTCCCAGACTAGAATATATTGGAAAGAGAAGAGAAACTAATTTCCAAGAGCTATGTTGAAATCTTAGGGTTTGGGAAAGGAGGGATGACAGAACAGGGTGAGAAAAGTGGGATATAGGGGCGTCTGGGCGGCTCAGTCAGTTAAGAGTCCAACTTCAGCTCAGGTCATGATCTCATGGTTTATGGGTTTGAGCCCCGTGTCGGGCTCTGTGCTGAACGCTCGCTCAGAGCCTGGAGCCTGGTTCGAGTTCTGTGTCCTTCTCTCTCTGCCCCTCCCCCACTCACACTCTTACTCTTTCTTTCAAAAATAAATAAATGTAAAAAAAAAAAAAAAAAAAAGTCGGATGTATTGGCCTTTTCCTCCTGAGAAGGAATATATGCCTTTGTACCCATTAGTAGACATAACAAATGTGCTCACTTTCTATGGTCTAGATTGTTGGCTAACGAAGGTGTAGTAGAGGAACACACAGATATGAGGCAGATGGACAAGTACCAGCCTGTGAAGTACAGAGAACAACACACTCCTGCCACTGCTGCCAAGGGAGCTTAGTCATGTCCAGCACAATGGGGCCTTTCTGCTTGGCATGTGGAGTGGAAAGAAGGCCACTTTTTTGTTGCTAGAAAGGCCTGAGGCTAGCTGTGCTACAAGGGCCTTTTGTCTCCTGGGAGGATGCCTTGATACAAGCCCGAACAAGGACACTAGGCATGCAGGAACTCACCTCTCTGCACCTTACACTGCAGTGGAGATGGGCAGGAGTCACTCTAGACCGGGGTTTCTCGGTCTCTGCACCACTAACATTGTGGACAGGATAATACTTTGTTGTGGGGGACTGTCCTCTGCAGTGGAGAATGTTTACCAGTATCTCTGGCATCCACCCGTGAGATGTAGCAGGCTGCCAATCATGACAATCAAAACTGTCTCCGTGTACTGCCAAATTTTCCCTGGCAGATAAAATTGCCCGCCCCCCCAGCTGAGAACCACTGTTGTAAATACTACATTAAGTGAGACAGAGGGTCTATAAGGGGGGCCACTGCATTCCAATGAGAACGGACTCAACATAGTCAGCCCCTAAACGGCTAAGCTATTGGGAAGAGGATAATGGCTTTAGCATATCAGGACAAACCTCAAGGTAATTTGTGTGTGTGTGTGTGTGTGTGTGTTCTACACATCATTCTGTTACCTAGTGACACAAGCTGTCTAGGTAAGCTTGGCAGCATGGTGTTTGCCCACCCAGAGTCACTACAGTCTGGGCAAAGTAAACCAGGATGGGCTGCATCCTTATCAGACAGCGACCCTGTGTCCAAATCATTAGCCAAGGTGAGATATCAGGGTCCATTACCCCTAAAGTTCAAGGGCCTAAAAGTTAAAAGTCTTGTTTTGCTTTCTCATTCCAAAAGAGAAAATGGGAAGAATCTCCAGACCAAAGTGAGGAAGAAGGTAATAGCAAGTACAGAAAGCTGTGGCTGTTTGGCAAGGATACAGATAGTCTCCAAATGACTCACATGCCCACATCCCAGGAGGATATGTGAGCAAGAGAGAGTCTTCTAAAGTCATGAGCCTCTCTCATCACCCTAAGCCTGTCCATGAGGCCCCTGGAGAGATAAAAAAAAAAAACAACAACTATGTCTCTGGGCAAAATGACAGACAATACTACACAGCGTCAGAGAAGGCCAGTCCCTAGAGGTTTCTGCACCAAATAGTCCTTCATAACAGAAGTGTATAAGGTGACTAGCTTTGTAGGCTCCAACCCTTTTAATGACATAATCTACCTGTATTTTGAGCATACATTGCCAACACAGGATGATCTATTTATAAATTAGATTCATGTACTGACAGTAGATATACAGTAAAACATACACAAAAATTAAAGACTGAGATAAATACAACATGAGTATATGCTGTAGTGCTTTCTTCTAGCACCCAGCTGATTGTCTTATGAAGCTGGAAACCACTGGGCAAATAGTCAAACTCATCCCAAACAGATGACTTGAACTTCACAGCTCCTCCCTGGATGCTGCCTCGGCTGTCGCTCTGAACTTGGCAGACCTTATCTACAATCATTGTCTTGCAGTATTTTCCTACTCATCTTTGGAAATTGCTCTCAGACTTCTAGGTCTTTGCTATTTCCAGAAAAGCTATTTTCCCTCTGTGGACTGCCAAACACCAACTAATCCTTAAAACCTAGCTCCAACTCTTCACTTGTGGAAATGCTTTGAAACACATTTCTAAATCCTCTCTTCTAAAACCTTCAAACTAAGTACTAGCACTCCCTTCTCTGCTTACTTAGTGCTTTCTTCAGACTTCTTTTCTAATATGTATGTTATATTGTTATTATTTAGTCACATGTTCCTCTTCTCCATTGTGCTATAAGAAATATGGTGGTAGGGAACGTCTTTTCTATTTCATATTCCCTAATGTTCAACATGGGGCTAGATCATTCTAAATACTCTGTAAAGTTTAATGAATGGATAAGAGAATCAATATGAATGAATGAATGAATGAATGAACAAATGAAGGCAATCTGTAGGTTCTGGATCACTGGTAGTACATCCCATCAGGATTTCCAGTATGTTTCCCCACCAACAGCATCACTGCCCCCCACAAAAAGATAAAGGGGGGAATGTTTTTACTATTGTTTTAAGCATTATCTTATGCATATCAGCAGAGAACTCTAGAAATTGATGATCAATTAGCTTCTCAGATAGGAAAGATCTATCCTGGTCTCCACACTATATTTCAGAGATAGGAAAGGACCTTTTCCATTTGAGAAGGATTTTTATAAAAAATGAGTAAACTCTCCTACTCTATTTTAGAATAACCACAAAATAAAAATGAATTCATCCAGGATTCCCAAATACCTGGCCATTTTAGAATGCTGGATTTTAACTATCAAATTTATTCAACACTAGATTTGGACCTGGAAGGCTTTTGATTTCCATCCTATTGGCCATGGATCACCTTGAGTAAATCACTTAACCATTCTGAATCTTAACTTCCCCTTCAATAAAATATCTTTCTAGTCATTCAAAACATTTATTTTGTATGATGTGTCAGGCACTGGAAACAGAGCAGTGATTGATACAGATACCCATGTAGCTTACAATCTAGTAGTACTGATCTCTTTGAATTGTTGAATTAAATGAGTTTATATGTTTGAAAATGCCTAGGATTTAATACAAACTCAGTAGTAACTTCTTCATTCATATATATGAATGAACATGTATCCATTCATTTAACAAGGGATAGATATTGAAAACTGGTTAGAACCTGGTGGATACAGCTGTAGGCTCACCAGAGGAAAGAAATGTGAGCAAAGACACAGAACTATAAAATGTGAGACCTGTCCAGAAAACATTAACTTCAGTTTGTCTGGAGTCTAAAGGTTACATATAGAGAGACACAGAGAGTGAGCCATTGGTGAGGCCAAATAATAAAAGTCCTTGAAAGCAGGTGGTCTTGAACTCCACAATCATTTATTTATTGAAA